AGCTCCTTTTGAGGACGGGGTGGGGGGAGGGGAGGGAACAGTGAGAACCAACCGTTTTGGCTTGGTTTTATGTAATTCCAAGCCCAGCCCTTGGGGACCAGCAGGAACTGACCCCTTTTTGGCTATTTTTGTGTAACTCGGAAGTGACTCCTTGGTGGGGAGGGGGGGGGGGGGAAGGGGACCAGTGAGAACCAACCTTCTTGGCTTGGTTTCATGTAATTCCAAGGCCAGCCCCTGGGGACCTGCAGGATGTGACTGTTCTGGGTTGGATTTGTGTAACTCAGAAGCGACTCCTTGGGCTCTGGTGGGTGCATCAGGGCACAGAGGGGCAGTGTTGGCGTCCCCCCTCCAAGCCGGTTTGTGGTGAACACCTTCCATGTTCCAGTTTGTTGTTTGTTGGTTGGTTTCTCTTCTAAATGCAAAGGGATTCGGTTTGTTCCTCGCTTCCTGCATTGCACTGTTTGGAAAAGTCCAGGGGTTGGCTGCCCTGCCCCAGTTAAATTGGAGGGTATGCTGCTGAAAGAGCAGAGCTCAGGGTGTGCAGATTGACCCAAGCTGCTGTTAGCAACCGAGGCTTCTGCAGAGCTGGCAGCTCTGTGTACAGAGGAGGAACTGGCTTCTGGGAGGCTTCCTCTTGGTTTGAGCAATAACAAGCAGTGCCTTTCAGTTTCGTAAAGGCTCATCTTGTTTGCTTATTCATGAGGGGGCACCGTGGGTCAGGCTGTTCCAGGTGGCTGCTCAGATGCAGGGCTGCCAGGCTGCCCCTGGCCTCCTGCTGCCCCCCAGGGCCCTCACGAGATCTCAGAGGGCAGCATGGGGTGGAGGTGGGGTCCCTGCTCTGCTCATCCTGTGGCAGGGCCTGCAGCAGCTGCTCTGCTACAGCTTTCAGCCCCCAGGTACAGAGGCTGCATCCTCTCGCTGGTGGCTTGGCGTGGCTCAGCCCGTCTCTAAGCTGGAATCTCTCTTCAGGAATGCTTCGGAAGCTGGAAATCAAAAAAGAAGAAGACCTGCAGGCGGTGTGCGAGGTGGCTGCTCACGTTTTCAGTGATGGAGTAACAAACTGGGGCCGAGTCGTCACGCTCATCTCATTTGGTGCCTTTGTTGCAAAACACCTGAAAAGCATCAACCAGGAGAAGTGCATCAGCTCGCTGGCGGGGATCATCACAGACGCTTTGGTCTCATCCAAACGCGAGTGGCTGATGAGCCAGGGAGGCTGGGTGAGTCACTGCCCACCACGAGGCTTTCGGAACGATTTGGTGTTTCCTATTTCCGTAACCCACTGGGTGTCAGCTGCCTGTGTCAGCGAAGTGCCGATGAGTCACTGTTCCAGTTCAAACCACTCTCTGAAAGCACCTCGCCAGTGCCATGCGGTGCCTTTGACCCCAAAAAACACGTGCCCCCCTGCCTGCTAAAGAAGTGCTGGCATCCCTACAGCAAAACATATTGGGGCGCCCCGAGTTTGCCTGCAGTTGTGTGGCTCCCAGTTGTTGGGCTGTGTCTGCAGTGGGTCTCCAGGAGCTGTGGGTGAGGAGCCAACCCATCGCTCCGGGTTGCTCCTTCCCGTGGGAAGAGGCAGCTGGCACAGGAATAACTGTCTCCTCTTTCTCTTAGGAGGGCTTTGTCGACTTCTTCCGAGTGGAGGACCTGGAAAGCAGCATCAGGAACGTGCTGATGGCCTTTGCAGGAGTGGCCGGCCTGGGGGCGAGCTTGGCCTACATGATCCGGTGAGCTGCAGTGCCGCAGAGGGGCAGAGCTCAGGGCAGACCGGCTCCGCTGGGAGCTGGCGAGCCGATCACCTTCTCCTGGGCATATTTATGCAGCTGGACTCGTGTTGACCCCAGGAGAATATCTAGGCATCCCCTGAGCAATTCTTTCCAAAGAAAGAAGGTATGTTCCACTCGGATCGTGGGTACCAATGAGGATTTATTGCTTTGGGAACAGAAAGTGGAGGAGTTGACTGATACTCTGCTTCGTTCAAGAGCATGAGGAGAGAAGGGCAAAGTGGACAGCTTCAGTTTTATCCCGGAGGAAACAGATCTGTTTCGTGAGCCAGTGAGCAGCAGCAGCAGCTCCTGCCTGGACTGATCCTCGTGGCTTTGGTGCGGCGGCTGTTGCGGAGCCGATGCTTTGGAGTCGTGGTTGTGGGTTTTTGGAAATGGCATCTTCAGCTGCCGCGCCGCTGCCCGAACTCACAGCTCTGCTGTCGCGGCTTTAGGCAGCGGTGCTGTGCAAGGCTGAGGCGTGCAGCCCGTGCTGGAATTCGGGGTGATTTCTGTCCCCTGCCTTCCAGCAGGGTTTGCTCAGGCCGCGGGCGGCCCTGTGAGCAGTCCTGCAGTTTGAGCTGGCGCTGTGGGAACCGCAGCTGGCTGCAGCCTGGCAGAGCCGGCCCGTCTGATCTGACTGCTCTCACCGCCCTGCCACGCCAGCAGTTTAAAAATAGGGAGTGCATTTCTGAGTAGGTAAAACCCCACGCAGGGCGGGGAGGCTGCGGAGAGCCTGCAGATGTCTGTCCAGCTGCAGAATGTGTGCATCTATACTGAGCTAACAGCACAGAAGCAAAGGCTGAATGTGGTGGAGCTGCTGATGGATGTGCTGCGCTTCATCCCTTGCGTGGAGTTTCTGTGGCAAAGCCTTCTGTGGTGGCTTTGAGCAAACCTTTCTCTGTGCTCGAGCAGAAGTGCCAGGGGTTGTAGTGGGGATCGGTGGCTGCTGCACTCGCTGCCTGCTGGCAGCAGCTGAGACTGCTGTTTATTTTAATCTTTTTGGTTTTTCCGAGCTCTTCTGGCAGTTGGGAGGTTGTGGAAGTTGGTGTTGGTTACTTCCTTCTCTCCCCTTTAATTTTGACTCTGTAAGCAGTGAGCACAGCAAAGCTGATGTTTGAATGTAAGCGTTCTGCAGCTGTGTAGAACTCAGTGCCTCGGCTCTGCAGCTCATGCCAGCCCCAAGCACAGCACCCAGCCCTGGGCCCCTCGTGGGCTTTGGGCTGTGCTGTGGTTGGGGCTGAGAACCCCTGCAGAACGGGGCTGAGGTGGTGAGGAACCCGCCCGACTGCAGCCCAAGCAATGCCCAGGGGGGAGAAAGCTAAAGGCAGGGCTGTCGTCTGGCCGGCCTGGGTGCTGGAGGAGCACTTAGTTTTGTCAATAAATGTCTCTTGTTCTCAATGGGTGGCATAAAACTTTATCCTGTAGCAGGATGGGGAGCTGAAGGCTCAGCTGTGAGCACCCCAGCCCTGTGCTGCTGCTGCTGCCTGCCTCTGCACTTTGGCCATGGCTGAAACCCCAACTGCTGCCTCTCGGTTTCAATTCCTGTGAAGCTGAAGAAGGAGGAAGCAAGGGGGGCAGCGTGGCTGTGGGGAAGTCCCTGATGCACGGTGGGATTCCCCCCCCGTGGGCACCCGTTGCCTGCGCACACCTCATCGCTCCGTCCCCCAGCCGCAGGCTGCTCTTCCAGCACCGCCGTTGGGTTTTCAGGGCTGTTTTGGGCCGACTGTGCCATGGCAACATGCAAAAAGCGGCCGCGGCCACCTGCGCTTCCTGGAAGCCGCGGTGCTGATAAGGCGCGGCCCTGGGGCAGCTGATACGGCTCAGCTTCCTCCGCCCCGCGGCTTTTCGAAGAAGCGGCGCCGCGTTCCGCGAAGCAGCGGAGGAAGTCACGGCCGTGTGGGGCCCGGGGGAGGGGGGGGAAATGGGGCGGGCAGGGAGTGGTGGTGGTTGGGGGGGGTGGGGAAGGGAGAGGAGCTCAGAGCTGGGCTGAGCGGCCCCACGGCTGTGCGCTGCCATAGAATGACTGGGGATTCCTGCCCCCCAACCCCTCACTGTGTGCCCCACAGCTTCAGGCTCCCCCGGGGAATGGGGCAACCAAAGAACCGGGCAGCAGCGCCAGCAACCTCGTGGCCTCCAGGTAAGGAACTTCTTCTGACAGGTGACCTCAATAAACGTCTGTTTTAATGCAGAGGCTCCGTTGTGAGTGAGGGGAGGGCACCGGCGCGCTTCGTGCGCCTCTCGGCCCGCTTCGTGCGGCTCGGCCCGCTTCGCACACAGCCACCCGCGACCCCGCCCCCCATTGCCATGGAATTTGCGTCACTTCCGGTTAGCGTTGTAGCCCCGCCCCCTCTTATTTCTGCCTCCTCGCTCTGGCCCTGCCCAGCAACAGCGCCCGCCAATGGCCCTCGCTCGGTCACGTGACCGCTTCCAGGAACATTCAGCGTAGCCCCGCCCACCCCGGGGCGGCCGCGGGGTGCGTGGGTCGGAGTCGCGCGTGGAGCCGTCGGAACGCTGGGGGGGGGGCAGAGAGTCCTTCAGCACAGAGGGATGCGCAACACGGGGACCAACTGGGGGGCGGGGGCTGCAGGGAAATGGGAGACCCTCCCCCCCCCCTCTCCCCCCCCCATCTCAGAACCCTCCAGCATCCCACGAGGAATAATAAAAGCACGAGTGGGAATCCAGCTCAAGGGATCACTGTGCGGGTGGGGAGGGGCAAAGGCCCCGTGTTGTCCACACGTGGGGACGCCCTGTGCGCACCCTGGGGACACGAGGCCATGTGCAGCACGCAGCACCCGCGGTCCACAGAGCGCCCCGGACGCGCGTGGGTGCCAGCCAGGTCCCACCCCGATCCACAAACAGTGACACAGCTGCAACACCCCGAAAACACACAGACAAAATCACACGCACAAAAACACACCCCGACACCCCTCCCCAAAATCACCCACACTGCGAGGAGGGGGGACGCGGAGCGGCGTGACACCAAAGCACCTTTATTACCGGGATTTTAAGGGCGCCGGCCCGAGGGGGGGGGGGGGAATGGCAGCTCCCAGCGTCACCCCCTCCAGGTATTCCTCCTCAAAGCACCGCAGCCTCTCGCGCCCCCCCCACGCACAGCAGCCACGGGGGTCGCGCCAGGAGCTGCGTGAGGCAGCGCAGAGGACATCGATTTGCTGAGAGAGCTGCGGCGAATGGGAGAAGGAAATGGGTTGGCGGGGGGGGGGGTCAGGAGCATCGACCACGGACCCCCCCCCCCCCCCCCCCAGTATCCCCCCAGTACCCACCTGCTCCTCGGCGCAGGGGCTCCGCTCGTCCTGGGGCAGCGCGCAGCACGTGGTGGTCACCGCTTCCAGCAGCTCCGGCACCGGGCGTCTGTGGGATGAGGGGGTCAGGAATGGGGGGGGGGGTCTGTCTATCCCAGGGTCTGAGGGGATCCAAGAATGTGTGCTGTGTGCCTCCCACCCAGGCCTGAGTGTGGGGTGGCGCCAGGGTGGGGAGTCCTAAGGGGAGAATGAAGGGGTGGGCTGGGGGCTTTGGGGGAAGCTGAAAGATGGGAGAGGGGCCCAGGAAAGGGCGGGGGGACCCAGGGGCTCTGAGAGGCTGTGGAGATGGAGGGATGTCCCAGGGGTGACATTCCCAGGGACTCCAGGGAGATGGAGGGGAGGGACCCAGAGGTTTTGGGGGGGTTGTTATTCCCAAGGACGCATTGTGGGAGGGGTCCCAGGGGCTGCCATCCCGCGCTCAGGGCGCCCCCCCCCCCCCAGCACCCACCGCTTGCTGAGCAGCCGGATGGGTCCGCAGAGGGTGCGCAGCATGGCGGGGCCGGGCCGGGCCAGGCTGATGTTGTGCACTTCTTGGTCGTAGGCAGGGTGGGGGGCGGCGGTGGCGAAGCAGCGGCTCCGGGCTTGGCCCAACCCTCTCTTGCAGCAGCGGTGCTGCCGGGTCTTCACAGCCCCCTCCTCCCGGCAGAAGCGCTCCAATCCCTTCTGCCACTGCAAAGACACGCGGGGCCCCAAACACCGCTGTTAGCGGCTGTCCCCACCCTGTCCCTGGCCGCTGCCGTCACCCCCTGACACCTCTGTCACCCCTTGACATAGGTGGGGCCTTCCTGAGACACTGCGTCACTCCCTGGGTCACCTCTGTCCTCCTGACAGCTCTGTCACCCCCCCCCTCCAAGTGACACCTGTGTCACACCCAGTGACACGCAGGACCCTTCCCACACCCCTGCATTACCCTACAGACACTTTACCCCCCCGGGATATCCCAGGGGACACTTGTGTCATCCCTCTGGGACACCGGCAGCACCTCCTGGACACCCGGGTCACACCTAAAGCCACCCGTGTCCTCCCCAAACACCTTCATGGGACACTTAGGTCACTCCTCAGGAAACACCGTCATCATCCTCCCAAACACCTGGAGGATGCTCCAAGACACCTGGGTCATCCCGAGTGACACTTGTGTCACCCCCCTTAAGACACCTGTGTGCCCCACAGGCACCTAAATCACACTCTGGGATGTCTGCATCAACACCTGAGACATCTGTGTTCATCCCTTGGACCCCTACGTCACCCTCTGGCTACCTGTGTCACCCCCAGGACCGCTATGCCACCCCCTCTGGATCTCTGTCACCCCCTGGATCTTTATGTCACCCCCTCGGATCTCTATGTCGCCCCCCGTACATCTTTGCCACCCCCTGGACCTTTATGATCTCTGTATCACCCTCCCAACACCTGTCTCACCTCCATGACAACATGGCCACCCCTAGACCACTTCTGTCACCACCTCTATGTCCTCCTCACAGCTCCCTCCCACCTCCAGCTCCCCCCCAGCTCCAACTCACAGCAGTGTGGGCGCACTCCAGACTGCTGTTGTGGCAGCAGCGGCCGAAGTCACGCTCCAGGCGGCTGTGGAATCGTGCCCGGGGCCCAGGGAGGCCTTTGGGGCTGGGCCGCAGCCCCCGCAGGCGACAGATGTTCTCCATGTTGGCGGCGTTGGGCTCGCCGGGTGGGAAGGATGGCACGACCACGGGCTCCAGGAGGGTGATCTCGGTGATCTCGGCGATCTCAGTGGTGCCCACGGTGGCTTTGGCGAAGCAGCGGCGTCGCGCAGCCCCGTGCTGATGGCAGCAGTGGAACTGACGTGTTTTCACCCCAAATTCATCCTCGCAGAACGTGTCCAGGACATCGGTCCACTGCAGGGACAAAGGGACACCCAGGTCACCATCAAAATGTCTCCCTATCTGTGTCACCCCCTGGGACACCTGTCACCCTCCTGGACACTTGTGCCATCTCTCACAACACTTCTGTTATCTCCCCCCCTGGGACACACTCCTGGACCATCCGTTCCCTTCAATATCATTGTCACCCCCTGGGACACCCCCACAAATATCCGGGTCACCCCTCAGGGACATATGGGACCCTCCCCAGGCACACGCATCACCCCCTGGACATCTGTATCAACCCCTGGCACACCCCTGACCCCCTCCCAGATGCCTGCTTCACCCCCCCACCCCCCAACACATCTGGGATCTCTACAGGACACCTGCGTCACCTTCAGAGATACCTGCATCACCCCTACGCGTGTCACCCCCCAGGAGACACCCCAGCTCTGTGTGCCCCCCCTTGGTGACACGACCCCAGACTCACCGCCCGCCGGGCGCAGGGCAGCGGGGCATGGTGCTGGCAGCAGCTGTCCAGGCGAGGCCAGAAGCTGTCGAGTGCAGCCACCTGCCTGCGGAGGTGGGCAAAGGCAGCAGGGGGCAGCGAGGGCCGGGGCGCACGGGGGATCAGCGAGGGGCCGCTGCAGTAACGGCTGAGGTCGTCAGGCAGGGGCCAGGCGGGGGGGAAGCCATCCAGGACGCTGCCCCAGGTGGAGGCGTGCGACGGCGCCCGCGGGTACGGGATGTCGTCAGCCCCCGCCGATGCGATGATGTTGGGGGACAGATGGAAGTCCTGCTCCTCCTGCTGCACTGTGGGGAGATAGCAGGGTGAGTCTTTTCCCCACCCCTGCAGGTCCCACATCATTCCAGGAGGGTCCCCGTTCCATGTTCCCGGGTGTCCCCTTGCTCACCCACACTTCTGTGAGCCCTACAGCCCTGTCCCCACATCCATCTGTTCCCCCCCTCCCCGTGTTGTCCCCACCCCTGGCTGCCCCCTTGCCCTGCAGTCCCTATATATGTCCACCCCTGTCCCCATGTCCCCTCCATCCACATTCCCACCTACATCCTGTCCCTACACCTCCTCCATCTCGTGTCCCCCTCCATCCCTGGGCACACCCCTGCCTTCCTCACCCCTTCAACCCCCCTCCCCTCTTCTGGGTTTCCCCATGCTCCCCCCATTCCATCATGTTCCCCATTCTCACACTGCTGGATCTCGTGGGATTGCTGGATCAGTTGCTCATGCTGGGGCTTCAGGTCTGCCACTGTGACATGGGGACAGAAGGCACAACGCTCAGATCCCACAGATACTCTCCCCTCCCCCAGTCCCGGTGCTGAGGTGAGGGGACAAATGAGGATCCACACCCCAGATATTGGGAGAGCATGGCAGGCTGTGATGGGGACAGGACAGGGGTGGCCGGGATGGGACACAGGTGGTGGGTAAGGCAGCCAGGAAAGAGCTCAGGAACGTGGGGAGGGGACACAGAGTGTCAGGGAGGGACTGAAGTGACCAAACAGGGACCGGAGCATCCAAAGAGGGGACGGCAGTGGCTGAGCAGTGACCCAGCTCCGCAGGGATGGGGATGCAGAAAGCTGGGAGGGGATGCAGGTGTGTGGGAAGGGGACCCGGGTGGCCAAGCAGACACAAAGAAGTCGTGGAAGGGACACAAGTGGCTGTGGAAGGGACACAAATGGCCGTGGAAGGGACACAAATGGCCGTGGAAGGGAACCCAAACACCCGGCAGGGAACATGGCGGGGTGGCGGCCCAGGTGTACAGGGAGGGGTCCAGGCATGCAGGAGGGGCCCAGGCAGCCCAAGAGGGCTGAGCTGCGCCCCAGGGGCCACAATGGGGAACTCACCAGCCGTGCCGAGGAGGAGGAGGAGGAGGCCGAAGGCGGCCATGGTGCCGGGCGCTGTGGAGCCACCGGCGGCTCTGCTGCCTTATGAAGGGCCGGGGCGGTGCGGGGCCTCATCCCGAGGCTGAGTCACAGCCTGACGTCGGAGCAGATCCGGGGGGGGGGGGGGGGGGGCCCCCGGGGGGGGGCAGGGGGGGCTGCGGGCACCCAGTGCGGCCTGCACCCCTGGGCTGGGCCCAACTGCGGCCTGCGGGTGGGCCCCATGGCTCAGCACAACCGGCCCGGCCGGTCCTGGGGCACCACGACACCAATGGGCCTCAGCACTGCCAGGCTGGCCCCCAAACCATCACAGCGGCCCTAAAATCATCACAGTGGCCCCAAAATCACCACAGTGGCCCCCAAACCATCACAGTGGCCCCAAAATCATCACAGTGGCCCCAAAATCACCACAGTGGCCCCCAAACCATCACCGTGGCCTCAAACCCGTCATGGTGGTCCCCCAAAATCACCCCCCTCCTCCACTTGCGTCACAGCCAGTGAAAGCGTGGTGGATTTTTGTGGTTTTTGCCCCATTTTGGGGCCAGCCCCACCCAGTGAGTCACCCCACTGCTGGCGGGGCGATGGGGATGGGGGGGAGCCTGCAGGGGGACCCTCCTCCCCCCCCCCCCCCCCCCTTGGCACGGTTTTGTCCCGTTGCCACAAACAACAAGGATAAAGGAGGTGACCCCCATGGGACACTGAGCACAGGTGGAGTGTGACATTGACATGGTGCTGGTCACGTCCCTTACACCCAGGAATGTGGGGGGGGGGGGACAAGGGGGGGCGCAAGGGCTGTCTGACTGCAGTGAGGAGGGCCCAAGGAGCCCCCCCCAGCACAGCCGCACCCCGAGGGGCACAAAACCCCATTCACAATGAGGGATGGGGGTGGGGGGGGGGGGTGGG